TTTTTTTTTTTTTGCCATTTCCAAGGTTAATCCATTTATTAACACACCCTTGATATCTGTAGAAGACAACCCCTTCCCTTCCATAATTTTAATTAAGAAAATACATGAGATCTTCACCTTTAATGCAGTGAGCTCTGCTATGAAGAGACCAGATACCTATCCAGCATTGTGGGTTTTAATAAAATAAAAAGTCTATCACATAAGCGTGATGTCTCCCAACACTGCTGCTTGTTAGTTCAGCACTAAATAGGCAATTATATCCTACACTGCTTATACAGGCAGGGAATGCTGATTTCCAGTTTTGTAAAACTGCCATCTGATTTTTGGAAATGTTCTTTAAAATATGAAATGGGACAACATTTGTTGACAGAGCTTAGTGTATTGTACAAGTAAATGTAGCATAGTAAAACTGTGCTGCTTTTTAAATATTTATATCTTTTAATCTTTATAGTAGGATAATCCTCTTTGAAGTGGGCAGGAATATGAATACCCTTGATTGTTTTTAAGTCCTTGTTTTTCAAAATTAAGATTTGTGATTTTTTTCTGCTGTAAAATTTTATTAGTGCCGCTATTTGAAATGTAGTTTGAATCAATTTACCTTCCATAAGCAAAACGTCTGTCTTTGTGGTGGTCCCCAAATGTGTCCCAAAGCCTGAGAGAAACACTCACTTCATCCACAACATCTCGTGAGCGTTCAAGGACCTAAAACAGAACACACATTACATTGTCCTTCCCTCCATCAAACCAGCACATTTCTATTTCTCCTGCAAGAAGATCTAAAGCACAATACATTGAAAGAGTCCATCACATGTAGTTTTAAATGCCACATTTTACAAAACGTCTGCAGAATATACATCTTCTATTATCTTTTGGTAAACTTGGTTAAACTTTGGGATGCATGACCTGGGGAGATGCTGGCTTCCTTCCACATGAGGCAACGGCTGCAGTAGAGCCCTTGTATACAACATTCTGAGGTCACTGCTGTATTCTGGCAAAGAAAGAGCTCACCAATAAATAATAGTACAACCTCACAGCATGTGCTCTGTATATTGTAGACCTGCTGTCCTTACCTCTTGGCAGACCCGGTACTGATCGATGGCCCAGACAGTGGGGACGTGAGTTGCCAGCAGCTGGTACTGGGTCAAGGTTGTATTACAGGCTCTCGCACAGATCAGACGCGTCTTCCCCACGGCGTTATCTCCGACCACCACGCACTTGATAGTTTCAACGTTGGGCCTTTCGTAGTCCATGTCAGCGTCCATTTATCGAGAACTGGAACAAGACAGTTGCACTTGTTTTCTTCTACTGCATGAACTGTGCTATTTAGAACTACAGCCTTCTACTTCCACTTCCTCCCGGATGCCTGAAGAGGACAAAGTCTACAGGCAAAGCTTGCAGTAAACTGTACCAAAGGAAACGAGCTGCTCCTTTAAATACCACACAGTTATGGAAATGTTGGACTATTTTGATCGCAATAAGCTTATGCTGTTCACATGTTATTTTCACTTTGGTTTCTGTAAACACAAGCCTATTTGCATGGATAGATCTTGGTGAAACAAGGACAACTAGAACAAACTTGCCTCTTGTTAATACTTTTTATGCTAAGAGGCAGAAGAAGCTGGACATCAGTGGGTTTAACCTGAAGGGTTCTAGTATAAACCTGCCTTCTTCACTTTTGGCCATTTGAGATTTGATTTAGGACTGTCCAAATAACACAGCCAAAACCAAGTTCCACAGAGGGTTTCAATTACATGCACACAATAAAACCAAGGAAATAATGTCTTACTTGTAAGATGACTCCAGGGACTCTGTTCTCTACAACACACACCCTATGTTAACTCAAATCCCGCTATATCCTGTATATATTACAAACTCTTAAATTTTCCAAGATGTTTGTACAGACCACAGACAAAACTGAAACCAAACAGCTCATGGAAAATTTGCAGATACTCAGGTATACTTACAAGTTCTTTTTTGTAAGGATTTTTTTTT